TGTTGAAAAGTAGGGTAAAAAAATAGATAAAATAACGTATCCCTAATTTAATTATTATGAAGGGACAAGATGCAAGTCGTGACTAGAGATGATAAAATGAGCTCGGTCCGCCCCCCGCCAAATAGTAGGGGCAGATTGAGTTTTTCACACTCGTCACCCGTAAAGTCTTTTAGCCCATCCGAGCTGAAATTTTTATTTATTTATTTATTTTTTAGTGTAAAATGTCATCGACCCAGCGAGTAGTCCATCACGTCCGTCCAAACAAAACAGAATGAACTGAGTTTTTTAATCCACCTTTAAAGATGGGACGGTCCATTTTTAAACGGGATGTCCGCTTTGTCAGCTCTAAGTGTGACGTGACTTGTCTACGTAGTGCCTCTCTCCTTAAAATAATAATAGAAAATGACAGGTGAAAATAAAAGGGGAAGAACGTGTTGTTTACATCGTGGGCTGCTTGGTTTATTCCGACCGTTAAATTTTAACCTCTAAACGCCATTTTTAAGAAAATGTTATTATTATTCCAAACAAAATAAAAATGTTTAAAGAATAATTTTTTGTATTTTTTTTCCTCAAATTGATAAATTTGCCCATAAAAAAAAAATCATATAGGAGTTTGTATCGCGAACGTTATTTACTGGACAATTTTTTTTTTTTTTTTTTTTTTTTGATTTTAAGAGTAGGAGTTGGAAACATCTACAAAAGAGGAGGTTGTTATTGAAGGAATTTCAATAAAAAGATTCTTCAAATTTTTTGCATACAAAAAATTAAAATAAATGTTTGTTAATTTTTTCATACGTACATTGAATACTTTACCTTATTTTTTTTTTAAATTCTTATCTTTAATTTCTTAATAAATCAGTTCTGGTTATAAAATCCCTTTATAAATTTGAATAAATTGATGAAGCAATAAAAACGTTGAGTTTTAAAATAAATTTAAAGGGAAAAATATGTGTCATTTTAAAGAATGTAAAATTGTGTCATTTTAAGTGAGAGAAAAATATAAATCGTGAATGAAAGAGAGTGGACAAAAAAAAAATAAAGATGTAGGTCCCACGTCTTTGTGAAAGTGAAATGACATAAATTATGTCATTTAAAAGGACAAACATTTTTTCCAAATTTAAAACCGTAAAATCATTTAGATAATGAACAAAAAATTAGTACATGTATGTTATCCAGCGCCTTGTGGCATTTTTTATTTATTCACGTCTACTTATTAAATTAAAGTATATTTGAATAATAATGGCTTGATTATTTGAATTATTCATTTTCAAAAATTAACATGTATGTGTCATTCTTATCTTTATATTTTTTTAAACTTCAAATTCAAATTCATTTTCAATTTAATTATTATACAAATCATTCTTTTTTGATTTTAATATATTCTCTTTTAATTTATTTTTAAAAAATTTAGCTAAATTTGAAAAACCCAAAAGATATCCACTTTCAATATTTGCAAACATCCTAGAGCGACAGCCAAGTCCTCTTTCAATTAAATCAAGCTCAAGCCCAAGAGCACGTGTGTATTGGGCTGAACCATTAAGGAACTTTACATGCTTATTTTCTGGAAAAGTTTTGGCCCAATGCATTTATCGCATAGGGATAATTGATTTCAAAATTAATCCCATCACGAGTTAGTCCTCTAAGGGAATAAAGCTTATTCATTTCATACCTAGGTTAAGAACAAATTGACCAGTGGAATATGTAATAAAAATTAAGCAAACATATAGGGTTGGAAAATTGCAACTACGTGCTTTTGAAAACATGATTTGTAATATACTTTAATTAAATAAAGGGTTTAATGTTTCTTTTCTAAGTGGGAGGTAAATTTATCTCCTATACAAATATGCAAGTGAATAAGTTTCTATGAAAAAAATAGAAGAAAAAAAATAAAATAAGCCCCACCTAATAACATGTGTGTGTGGGAGAAACTTATTACAGCCACACATTTGTTTATGGCCTTGGACAATTTTTGATAACAACTCATTTGATTAATATAACTACTCAATTAAACATAATTGACTCTTCGAATATGGTGGTGGAATGAATTTGATGTAAGTTAAATTTATCTTTCTAAACTACAACTCTTGGATTCCACATTCATCTTTGGTAGTGGAAAGGATGTAGAAGCGGAATTGAGTTTAACTTCTAACACTAAGTGAAGACTATACAATTGGCAACACTTGTTTTACTAAAAAAAAATGATAAAACCTATTAATCTACTGTATTAAAATTTTGGATTGAGATGTGTTGTCAGATTCATTTGTTATGATATCTATTAACTAAGTATAACTTAGTTAATTGGTGGTGGTCTCATACCACTCCCCTTGACTCGCTTTAGAGTTGGATTAGACTCAGGCCAACATTAAATATTTAATTAAAATTGGATTGAATATTTGAACTTGGGATGCTCGTAAAGACTTTTATGGAGGGATAGCATAGTTTTGAAGTTCTTAAAAGATCTAAGCTCCCTTTTATCACACTCATTAATAAGTATTTGAACATTGAGTGGTCAACTATGTAAAAGATTAGGATACCGAATCGTTTTAGACAAAAAAAAAAAAGGGACTGTACAAGTGTCTCTAATAAGTGGAATCTTATTCAGTTGTGTTCTTTATTCTACTGAAGAGTCAAAGTTCAAGAACAGGAAAAAGTAAACAAAAATTAGGGATTTAATTAATCAAGAGATAATCAGATAATGCAGAGACTTTGTGCTGTCTAATACCGGCATCTTAGGAAATTTAGATTTATTTTCCACTATAAATACAAATACAATAAAGGAGAGAAAACCAATTTAATATTTTATTTTTGAAATTCATCAAAGAATATTCTCACGAACTTGTTTTTGGTTTACGTGAGCAGTTGTATTATTATCAAGTTGACTTAATCAATAGAGACCTTGATTTAGCGAATATTATTATCCATACTTCACTATTTTATTGGAGGTTAACCTATAAGAATAACACTGAGACAGTTTATAAGTCACTAAAATTGGTCTAGTGGTGAGAGGTTTGTGTAGGTAGTATTAGGTTATGTATTCAATTCCTCTTGAATAGTGTATTTAATTTTCAAATTTTAGATAAAATATTTTGTATCAACAAACTTATAGTTTAATTAATACTAACCTAAATCATTAAGATTTGAATGAAATACTGATATAAGAAATTTGTTTCTTCAAGAGGTCACTTTTTTTCTCTCCTCCTAAATGTCCATTTGATGGGTCACCAGAGAAGACATGATTTGGAGCCCTCAAGTATTTTTCTATCCCTGCCATACTATTAAATTTAATTTTATTAATAAAAATTATTATCATTTAATTTAACAAGAGAATTCTATGTCAATATAACAAGGACTAAGTTATATTAATTAATTATTAAGATTACTTGTACCTATTATACAGAAAGAAACTAAAATAAAAATTTAATATGACTTGTAAGACTCATCAATTTGAAATTTCCGGTCTCACATAATTAAATATGAATTTTCGTGTTACTAGATTTTTTAGTTAAATCAGGATAATAATCTTAATTAAATGTTCTACTGAGGCCAAACGTCCCCCATATATAATTTCCATCAAGGGAATGCCTAAATGATTATAGTAAGACTACAGCCCAACACAGTATATGGGCCCACCCAATTTGGTTGATCTTGAGTAAACGTAAAACTCTGGCCCATTGTAATTGTAATTGTTTTTGTTTTGTTTTCTTTTTTTGGTATTGTATTTTTTTTTTGGACCTTTTCATGCTTCATTTTAAATCATCAATTATATGACGTTTACTAGGTCCTATTGGAAAGTGAAACTTTAGCTAATGATCAAAAGACAACAAGAAATGTACATGACATTGAGAGCAAATACAAATGGAAACACGAAAGAAATTATGATTTGACGAGGCATGTCACATCTTATAAAAATATCAAAATGAATAATAATAGGGCAGTGAAAATGATAAGGTCTCCAGTTGGTTGGGTTGTTTGGGTCTAATTCTTCAGCTGCAAAATGATGCTTTGCTATGCCAAAGTCCCCGTGCCGGTGCCGGCCATAATTGCGGCTATATATTTCTCATGCTTTCTTTGAGGGGTCTCATTCTAAACGGCAAACCAAACATCGAGGGAGTATCTATCAACGTATTCTTGCAAAGAAACGGATAAATCTTATGTACTACAGTAGTACCCATTACTGAGTACTACTTTCATACATTTCATGACATTTGGAATCAATAACTCACGTCACGTGTCATTAAAATTTTTAAACTTTTTTTTTTCGATTTAATTTTTTACCCACTACTCCTTGTCTCCCGCCATTTTCCCCACTTCTTTCATTTGCCTCTATCCCATCTCTTCCATTTCCGTCTTCTTCCACACTTCTTTCATTTGCCTTTATTTTAAGAGATTGCAGTGACAAAATAGAAACGAGGAAGACTGAATAGAAGTTCAGGTAAAAGACTTAAGTTTTCATGTTAATATAATCTTCCAAACATAACTTTGAATTTATTTGTTTGTTTTTGTCTTTATGGTTGTCGCTGCCAACTTTAACAGGGGTTGGAACTATATAAGCAATCTAAAGAACTAGAAAAAAATGCAGCCAACTGACTCAAGCACAATTCGTCAAGGTATTTCCATATAATCACAAACTGCTACATGATTGACTCCCTCTAAATGAATAGTTGTTATTTTAAAATAGGAATAAAATTTCTGCATTCATCCATATTGATTTCTTTCAATCTATAAGGAATTTTAAAACCCTCTGCATATTTCTTTTAAATTCAGAATTTAGCTATTTCATTTGACCAAAAAGTTCTGTTACAAGGATTTCTTTATTTTTGTTTCATTACCGAGCTTATATAGAGACTAATATACTCCCAACATGCTATCTGTTGACGTGATATATTATGCTTTAATTTTTCTCTTCCAATCTATCTTTTTTTTTTAATATTCAGTACTTTTTTTTCTGTTCTTTAAATTGCAAGTGTTATTTGTGCTGCATTCTTTTAGGAAATTGTGGCATGGATATGCTGTATTCTGAATCATTGTCATCTAGTGAAGTGAACGTTTCAGAAAGTGAATATGATGATGAACAAATAGAAATGCCAATGGTTGTGAGCAGAGAAGAAAATGGATACGAGCCAAAAATTGGAATGATGTTTTCATCTGAAGATGAAGCTTATAAGTTCTACAATGCATATGCTAAATTCATTGGTTTTACTGTGAGAAAATCGCAGTATCGAAGACTAGCAGATGGAACCATAAGCCAAAGATCATTTGTTTGTGGAAGAGAAAGACACAGAAGGTTAAAAGACCCTTCATATGTGAAGAAAGTAAATAGAAGAGAAACAAGAACGGGTTGTCCGGCTATGATATGCTTTAAAATTGAGAAGGATAATTGGATTGTTTATAAATTCATTCCAGATCATAATCATGATCTTGTGAAATCAAGCGCGGGAGCTATGTTAAGATCCCAAAGACATGTTGATGAAGCGCATGCTAATATGATTGAAGATATGAATAATGCTGGTATAAAACCATGTGGTATGTATTCATATTTTGTTGAAGTTGCTGGAGGAGCCCAAAATGTTGGATTTTTAAAACATGATTGTGATAATTTTTTACAAAGCAAAAGAAGCAACACTCTTGAAGCAGGAGATGCACAAAGTGTTATTAACCACTTCAAAAAAATACAAGCGAATGATCTGTCCTTTTTCTACACAATGCAAGTTGATTGTGAAAATCGTATGACAATTTTTTTTTGGAGAGATGGCATATCAAGGGCAGATTATAGTCACTTTGGAGATGTAGTCATTTTTGACACAACTTACAGAACAAACAAGTATGATATGGCTTGTGCGCCTTTCATATGGGTGAATCATCACAAACAAAGTGTTCTGTTTGGTTGTGCTTTCTTGTTAGATGAGACAACAGAGTCATTCATTTGGCTATTTGAATCTTTTTTGGAAGCAATGGGTGGATTGCAACCTAAAACAATTTTTACTGATCAGTGTCAAGCAATGGCAAATGTTGTTAAAAAAGTGTTTCATGAATCTCAACATCGACTTTGCTTGTGGCATATTAGCCAAAATGCTGCTAAGCATCTTTCATATTATTTGAGGCAACCTGACTTTAAGGTTCTATTTAATAGGTGCCTTTATAATTGTGAATCTGAGCAAGAGGTTGAAGAATGATGGGCCCGTTTACTTACAAAAGTTGATATTTCAAAATGTTCATGGTTGAAAATTTTTTATGAGTTACGACAAGATTGGTCCCCAGGATTTAACAAGAATTATTTTTCAGCTGGCATCTTATCAACACAAAGAAGTGAGAGTATGAATAATATTTTTCGTACTGTAACTTGTAAGACAATGTCTCTTACTCAATTCGTTCTTTGTTATGAGAAAGTTTTGGAGCGTAGACGTTGGTCAGAGTTGCAAAAAGACTTTGAGTGCAATCAATCTGCACCTCCTCGAGTTAAAAAACTTGCAGGTATGGCTGAACAAGCTACACGAGTATATACTCATGTTGTTTTTGAAGAATTCTATGAAGAACTAGTTGAATCTTTATCTGTGGCAATTGAAAAAACCAATGAAAATGGTACTTTTTTTGGTTACAAGTTAGTTAAATCTGGTGATGAAAAACAATATTTTGTGACATTTGAATCAACAAATTGCTTGGTTGAATGTAGTTGCAAGAAGTTTGAATCGATTGGTCTCTTATGTCTTCATGCATTGAAGGTACTTAACTTTCACAATATTTTTCATATACCTTCTCAATATATCTTGAAGAGGTGGACAAAGGATGCAAAAGAAGGTTTTAATGTAACTGATAGCATTCCACCTCAAGCTTGTGAGGTTTCAGCACAAAGAATTAATCTACGTATGAGTCAAGTAATGAGGAAAGATATTATTTTGCAACCAAGGGTGCATTGACAAATGAATCAGCCAAAATGGCTGAAGATCATCTAGAGCAAGGGATAAAAATGTTGGAGAGGATGTTAAAAACTAGCAAACCTACTCAAGTTGATGATATGGCTAGTGATGAAGAGAAAGATGAGCATAGTAAATTAAATTCAAAAAGGGTATTAGATCCGCAACGTGTTCGAGCAAGGGGAGTTACAAATGCTAGACTGAAAAGTCAACTAGAGAAGAAAAGATGTAAAAAAAATATATCACAAGCTCGAAGCAAATCTCATGCTGATAAAGGAAAAATGAATAATATAATTAGGATCATACTTTTTTAGTTTTATAGAATTATATGATTATTTTTATTTTTTATTTTATTTTTTGTGATTTAGGCAAAGCTACAAGTACCAGTGCCAAAGATTTTAGTACATCTTCAACACCTCCACGACCTTTTGTTTTTCCATATGTCTCTCAGGTGGCAAATGATCCATATATCCCTCAAGTGACAAATGATAATACTCTTCCAACAACATTTTGTTTTCCATATATCTGTCAAGTACCATATACACAGGTATAATTACATTGTAATTTTTCTAAATATCATCTTACTTTAAATTAGAATTTTCACTTTCTTTTAATGTGTCAACTGTCAAACAACAATTTTTTGGAATTACTATGAGGCCAGACAAGCCATGATTGTAGAAGATGAATTTCATGATTTCATTTGGCAGATTCATGATTTCGACCATTGCCACATCTATTGGTTAGTTACTGGAAAATTTATGCAGTGGAACTTTTTGTTACTGGAAAATTTATGCAGTAGAACTTTTTGTTACTGGAAAATTTATGCAGAGGGACTTTCTCTTGCTGGACTTTCTTCAAGTCAGGTGGACTTTTTGTTGTTGGTGCTCTCCTGTGCCTTAATTGCCCAAATGGATATGCTTTGTTTTGTATTTATCTAGCTTCTCATATTATTTTGTTATTAACTCAGTGGTATGCCATTTTGGTAGTTATAAGTGTTGTGTACAATGTACAGACTAATTTTTTGGATACCTGAAGTTGAATATTATGGGAAAGTATTATATTTTTTACCCCATTGAAGAATTCTGATGATAATTCCTAATTTATGGATATCTGTTTGTAGTTTTTTTGGCTTCTGTTGATCTATCCAATCCACGATTTTTGGTTCTTTAATGTGACTGCACTGTTTAGTAGCGGGCCTTGGGGAAGCATTTTCCTGGTGTTCTTTTGAGATGTTTAGGTTAAATTTCTAAAGATGGTGCCTCTTTTGTTCTGTTTGGGTTAAAGTTGATTCACGTTTTTGTGTTGTTACCATATCCTGAATACCATAAGACATTTTTCGACATGAAATTCACGTAAAATTTTAAACCATTGCAAACATTTTTAATCAGACTTATCGAGTGTAAGACATCATTAAGTTGAGCCTTAACTAGTGCTTCTCATGATCTTGTTTGCGATTTGAAATTCATATTTTGTATGATTGCTGCATATTCTTTTAGCTTTGGGACTAAAAATTAGTATGTACATTGTACACCTTAAGCATAGGAATAAAGCATAATAAAAAATAGGGTGGAATAGGAAAGCATCATCGAAAATAGGGTGGATATTAACTGGATAACATGGAAAAAAAACAGTATCACGTTAACAGCCAAGAATAAATCAGTTCGAACAAAGGACCCATTTTTTGCAGTGCCTAAAATGCATTATATGTAGGGAGGTTTTTCCAGTATCACAACTGGTTATTTACACAAAGAATAAAAAGCCAAATAAAGATGAGATTAACATATTCCACTGTTAAAAAAAAAAGAAAATAAAATCAAGACACTTCCTTCGTCTCACAGACACGACATTTGTTTGATGCCATAAGAATATCATAAGGACAAATCACAACCCTCATTGGCGCATTTCCTTTGAAGTAACATAGTTTCTACTTCCAGTGATTAAAAATTGGCAATGACCTCTTCCAGTGGTATTCCCAAGCAACTTCACAATGACCGCTTTTTTTCCATGGGTTTCTTATACCTTTGCTTCTTTACTGCATCGAACATTTATCAGCCATTATCCCACCATCATGCAGATAATTTTTGCATCACCACATACCCACCTGGAACAATATGCAGAATTACATTCAATTTGACACTATTAAAAATATAACAATGATAAGTATATGTAGCGTAGCTTAGCAAATTATTTTATTACAATACCTAAAATATGATTCATGGATTAAGAAAAAACTAACTTAGGTAAGCATGTTCGAATTGTATAAATACAACCATTAAACACCATAACCAAGTCAACAAATATGCCCCATTTGTATCAAAACAAAATATGACATGCAACCAAGTAGTCCATCAAGCCCGAAGACATATTAATCAAAATTCAGACCAGTACAACAACAAAAATGTATTCTATTTTAAGTTCAAGTGCTAGTTAATCAAACAAACAAAGATGAAACCACAAACTTCAATTGAAGAAAAAAACCTTTGCGAGTGTGGAAACCAGTAGGCTTGCAAGCCTTCCCTTGTAACAACACAGATAACACCGATTATTAATAATCAAAAGAAGAAAAACCTATTCTACATCAAAACTACATTATGTGCTCAAATGGACAAAGGAGAAATAGAAAGACTATTTGATTGCTGAGAGCTAGGGTTAATTTAGGGAAATGAGAACTAATGAGAGGCAATCATCTACACTCGCTAACGCTTGTCTGAAACCCTAGCGCACAACCACAGACGAGATTCCAAATTTGTAATCGAGATGAAAGACAAAAAGACAATGGGAGAGAAATGAAAGAAGAAGAGGGCACATGTTACAGGAGGAAGAAGGCAAGTGAAATGAAAGACAGAATAAAAAAAGATGAAAAATTAAAACGAAAAAAAAAAGTTAAAAATTGTAATGACACGTAGAAAGCTGACGTGAGTTATTGATTCCAAATGTCATGAAATGTAGGAAAGTAGTACTGAGCAGTGGGTACTATTGTAGTACTTAAGATTTATCCCAAAGAAACAAAACATGCTGTTAGGACGTCAGTGCCTCAAATTCAACGCAAAAGTGATTCATAGATCAACATGAGTTCGGAACTAGAAGTTCTAAAATTATCAGGTTAATTACTTCAACATAAAATCTTAAGGTGTTGGGTGAAGATCTTTTAAATAATTTATATTATACTCTAACACATCTCCTCACGTAAGAGTCTTTTGGGCTTGAAACGTGGATATTGCATATGCCTAATTTTATTTTATTTTTGATTTTACCTTATGCATATTTAATTCTACAGGTGGAGGGCGGTGATGATCGAACTTGTGACTTTATGGTCACTAAAGCTCTGATTGTTGGATATAGTAATAATATAATCCAATACTATGTTCACATATAAGCCCAATAGGTTAAAGCATGGTTATTTGAGTCTATATGGACTGGAGCCCAATAACTTGCATTATCTCTAGGATTTCCTAAGATGGAGGAAACACAGTTGAACATTCCAAACTTGATGTCTCATGGTGTAATACTTCAAGTACCTCTAAACCTTTCTCTTTCAAACTCATTACCTCTAACACTGATCCCATACAAAGAACCACATCAACCCAAAACCTTAAGGTGTTGGGTGAAAACCTTTTTAATGGTTTATATTATTCTCTAACAGGTCGGCCAACGTGCATAAAATGAAAAATGCAGAAGGAGAAAGACAGAGAAGAACACAACAATCTTTAACATGAAAAACCTTCTTCAGTGTGAAGAAGTATATATCACAGGACACTAGTCCAAAAAAATTTCACTATGTCAAAAAGAAAGATTACAAAGGTTCAAGCTTCCCTAGTTATACTAGAGGTACGATCAAGCATCACCAACAATGGTGGTATTCTCAAACTTCCTTAAAGAGGTCACACTCAAACTTCTCTCTAGAGATATTCAAATTCTCCAACTAAAATTACAAATGGTCTCATGTGTTTATATAGATGTGAGGGGAACCATCCACCTTCTTTCAGAATCTTCTTCAATGATTGAGGTGATTGGGCAGACATTGAGCCCTGCACCATTAAATGTGGTGCATGCATGTTGAGTCTGTTGCCCATGATGGACTCGACCTAAATTGATGGTGCCCTAATCTCTTGTTTATAAGAGATGCTTAGATGTTGAGCCATCATATAGAGAAGAAGAAAAAAAGAAAAAAAATGCAGACACGAAGAATCAAACACGTAGGAGAAAATCACGAGCCAAAGACGAAGATTCTCTGAGGAAGAAACCCAACGTAATCGCTGAAG